AAAGTTAAACTATTTTGGGGTGATATGCAATGTATATCTTTGCTACACAGTTAATTTATTTTCTATAGAAGCGTCAATCACCTTAAAATAAGTTTTTTTACCTATTTCGATGATATTTTTTTATTAAAATATTTTAACAAGTTCATTATTTATTATTTTTATTTGATTTTATAACCAAGATATAACAATGACATAACGAGGAGGTGGAGAAGAATGTTTGAAGAACATCTTTTTGCAATTTCTTCAATATTAAAATAGCAATATGTTCCTCCAGATTCTATACCATTAGTACTTTGGTTCTATAACTTAAACTTCACTCATTTAAGTTCCGAGAAGGTGAAAGTGAAAGCAACCCTTCTGCTTGCAATGCAGTCTTTAAGCTGTCAAAGATATTCTATCAAGTCCAAAAACTTCTATCATTCTGCATGCAAGTTCTTTTTTCAAAAAAAATGAAAATTATGTAAAATTTATTGAGGATCAGATCCTATCCTTCTAAACAGCAACAAAATAGCAACAAAATCAAGATTAAAATGAGAGATGAAAGCATATGAAATGCATTGCATCGGTCTCTACTCTATTCTGCTCTAGCAAAACTTTTTATTCAAATTTAGTAACACTTTTAGTTACGAGAATGTCCAGTTCGAGTATGTTTGCTGTGACTACCAGCTGCCGGTGAGGCGGCACATGCAACTGTTGCTGCAACTTTATTTATGCCAACTTAATACTTCTCTCTCTTGCTTTTTCTTTCTTTCTTTCTTTTTTTTTTTTCTCCCAACTTGTTCTTACTCTTGTTTTGTTTGGTTGTTTAGAAAAGTAAAGAAATGGGAAGTTCATATGTAATAAGATTAATGTTCAAAATTAAGCATTGTTTATGAATCTCTAAGAAAAATCAATAGCTGCGTTTTGCCCTTTTTTCTAACGGTATAGCTGCTATTGCCTTTATGTGTCGTAAACCTCAATTCCTTCGTACCTTCAGATTTTGGTAATATTATAAGGCGACCAAGGAACTCTTGACACGCGTTTCATTGGTGGTCTCGACATTGGCTCGGCACTCATGCACACAAATGCAATTGTAGCAACAAGAAGGATGTTCTGTAATTTGAATTCCTGGAGATGACAGCCGCAACATCTAATACTTCAGCAACTAGATTCTTCAAGTTTCCTATTTTCCAGATGGATGAAACCGTGAAGAAGATTAGAATCAAGGTACAAAACTTGCAAACTTTTAACAACTCGACAATTGACAAGATGAAGGAAGGATTGGACTTGTGATGCTGTTGTATCTTAGCCTCAATTCAACCAAATTCTTCATGTTTCCTATTTTAGAAGGGATGGCGTTGATTTTATTATATGAAACATCAAACATTTCTAATTGGGTGACATTTTGATGTCAAGAAGGTTATTCACCGCTTAGATCATTGCTATTGAGGTAAAGGCACTTTAGATTTGACAGAGAAGCCAACTGTGCTGGGAGTCTCCGCTCAGCCCTTGACTGCTAAGATGAAGGCGGACAACATGGGGCGGCAAGGAAGAAAAATTGAGGTTTCCAAATTTGTTGCCTACCTTGATATAATCAGGAGGCTGAATCATCGCAACCCTCCCATCAGCGTTGAATGTTACACCAGGGCACGAAGAATTAATGATTTTCTGTGTCGTTAGTGTGGCCACTCCACCACCCACTCTCAAGCAAAGCCAATGCTTCTGATTCTGAAGACATTGCTGCCTCTGTTAACATGGTTGTTTCTCCGATGTGGTGAAGAAGCAAGGTAGACCACGATGCTACCAAAATGTGTTGAATTTTTTAAACAAAGAAAAATGGAGAGAAAACCAGGAGGAGCATAAACGAAAATGGAGAAGTATATTACTTTAACTCAGAAATATCATTGATATTTTACTATGTTTATAGGAAAAACAACATAATAAAAAATAATTTCTTCTCACCTAATATTTTACCTAATACAAAAAAATCTATCAAACATTTAAAACAAGATTACATTCAAAAGATTTGCTGCCATTTTGTAACCCATGTGCAGCTTCATGCTGTTGTCAGTTTGCTGCTACTGTGCAGTCATGTAGCAGCTCTCACGTCTTTCCATTTGCTGCCACTGCTGCAGCTTTGACACCACAACTCCAACAAAATGAAAGTGGCCAAAATTGAGGAGACCATGTTATGCTTACTTCGTTTCCGCAGTTGTTACAAATTCAAGCTCAATTTCTGGAATTTTAAAGCTTGTCAAACGCCAACAGTACTGCAGTGAAAGTTTGGAGGATCTACTTGGCCATTGTTTTTATTTTTATTATTTTTTTGATTGGTCTACTTGGGCCATCCATTTCGCGCAATGACCATTTTTTAGTTAAGAGGATGTGATCTGTGTCTACTTTTCCATGAAATGCATTGGTAACGAGTAACGACAAAATTTTCTTCAAAGTGAAAGTAAACCATCAAGTTGGTTTGTTGAGGACTGGAAATTATAATACTTATACTCCACATCTGATTTGGATGTATCCAATTGCATAGAGTCATGACATTTCATCAATGTGAATTTTTTTCATTTTTGAGACATTTCATCAAGATGAATTTTTAATTCCCTTTTGAATTAAGTAGAACCATGTGCCCATTAAAGAGTTATATTTAACAAAATATATATTTATAATTAAGATTACACTAGACTACATAAAATTTAGTAAGTGCTCTAGTGTGATGCATTTTATATATTTTAACTTTTTATTTTAGTCTTAATTTTGTTACTATTTGGATGAATAAAATGTGATTTTCAATGGATTTTACATAATTTTGATTGTTTATGGGAGAAAAAAAGACTTGCATAATAATAGAAGGTTTTGGACTTAATGAATTTCTTTTGAAAGTTGAGTGATCGTATTATTAGAAGAAAGATTACGGTCACTCAGGTATCTAAATGAATGGATTCAACGTTATAGGATCAAACTGATCATCATATAGAAACTAGTGGATAGGATCTTATAATTTACCATTGAAAAAATTGCTAAAAGATTTAAAAACCCGACAAGGATTTGGTGTCGTAGCTACACGATAGGTGTCGACACCATCCTCCAAGCTTTGGAGAATAGTTACTAGGTGAAATAAACAGAAATACGGACACCTACATTGGGGTGTCCACACTTTCATCACTTTTAAGTTTCAACTTTATAAGTTTAAATTTTTGTCACGGGTCCCAATTTTTTAATAAAGTTTCTATAAATACTCATTTAAAATTAGATTTTAAGAGTATTTAAAAACTAAAGAAATGATAAGGAAGCACCTGACCCTTCGAGTCAAATGGTTTTCAACTATCTTGAGATGCATCCCCCTTTCCCCTTGAACAGGATTCGAGTCCGTCCCATGACACTGTATTCAAAAAAAAAAATGATAAGGAAGAATTAAATATCAAAAGAAGATTAAGATAACATTTTATATCTTAAATTAATTTTATTTATCTTTAAATTTTATTTATGATATCAAATATTTTTATATTTATAATAAAATATTTAATTTTTTATTTAAATATAAATTAATTTAATCATCTAAAGTTATAATATAACTTAGTTAATTTAATATATAATTTTAGGATTTTTATATTTTTAAAATTTATTATTTTATGTAAAGTTTTTTTTTTATCAGCCAAATAAAATTTTAATTAATGAAGCACAAGGGGTGCTTCAACCCATCTACAAACATATGGCACCCACGTCTTGATGGTACCCAAATCTGATGGGAGCCAAGCTCCTTACAACCAGATTTTGACAAAACTTGGAGACCTGATTAAACGCAGAACCTTCTGCACTTCCTAACCTTATGTAAAGTGACTATATTTTTTTTAATGCTATTTAATGATTAGCTACCATAAAAATAAATTTGGAGAGCATAATTAAGATTAAGAAGAAATTTTATATAATAATTTCTAATAATATATATTATAAATTAGACAAAAAATAAAAGTAGTATTAATAT